CACCCAGGCGCCCCCTAAACCATTTCTTTTTTTTTTTTTTTTTTTAAAGATTTTATTTATTTATTTATTTGAGAGAGAGAATGAGACAGAGAGAGAGAGCACGAGATGGGGGAGGGTCAGAGGGAGAAGCAGGTTCCCCACCGAGCAGGGATATTATTATTTTTTAATGTCATTAGGCCCAAGCATCTTACCCTTGGGAGAGCAGTTCTCTTAGGGTCCTTTTTTTTTTTTTTTTTTTTTAAGATTTTATTTATTTACTTGAGAGAGAGAGCATGAGCAGGAGGAGGGGGAGAGGGAGAAGAAGAAGCAGACTCCTGCTGAGCAGGGAGCCCAGCAGAAGTGGAGCTCCATTCCAGGACCCTGGGACCACAACCTGAGCCAAAGGCAGACACTTAACCGAGCCACCCAGGTGCTCCTCTTAGGGTCCTTTTTACTCTTTAAAAAAAAATTTTTTTTTTTTAAAGATTTTATTTATTTTTTGACAGAGAGACAGCGAGAGAGGGAACACAAGCAGGGGGAGTGGGAGAGGGAGAAGCAGGCTTCCCGCTGAGCAAGGAGCCCGATGTGGGGCTCGATCCCAGGACCCCGGGATCATGACCTGAGCCGAAGGCAGACGCTCAACGACTGAGCCACCCAGGTGCCCCTACTCTTTAAAATTTTTTTAAGTCAGAATGAATATTTATTTATTATTATTTGTGTGATGGAGTATATTTTTACTAGAAATTTTATTAGTGCAGATAAAGGGATAGTTACCCTTGATAAACCCTCCTCTTAGTTCTACTCTCCTCAAAGATAATTACTGTTATAGGAGGTATGTGTGCTTTTAATCCTTTCTTCTGTGTGTGTGTGTGTGTGTGTATAGCTACTAGCAGAAAATGATAATCATACATTCTTTAGATCTTTCCATGTTAGTGTATAAATCATTGCATAATAAATATATCATTCTGTGGATGTAACCATAGTTTAATAGTTTTCTTACTAATAGGTATTAGGCTGTTCCTGGTGTTTTACAGTAAAACTGTTCTGTTCAGTAATCACGTTCCTCTTGGAATATGTGCTCAAGTTTCAAGTTTTTCCTTCAAGTTGGTTAGTCTAGAAATAGATTATCTGCTTGAAGAATCTTTGCATTTAAAATATTAAGATCGGGGTGCATGGGTGGCTCAGTCATTAAGCGTCTGCCTTCGGCTTAGGTCATGATCCCAGGGTCCTGGGATCGAGCCCCGTGTTGGGCTCCCTGCTCTCTGGGAAGCCTGCTTCTCCCTCTCCCACTCTGCCTGCTCGTCTTTCCTCTCTCGCTGTCTCTCTCTGTCAAATAAATAAAATCTTTAAAATAAATTTAAAAAAATAAAGTATTAAGATCAATAAAGTGAAGTAATTTATGGATGACACAGAATTGCAAACTTTTCATTTTGTCAGGAAAAAAAAACCCCACTATATATTGTTTCTATCATTTCATAAAAGGACATTTAAAAAAATTTTTATTAATTTTTTTTAAGGTTTTATTTGTTTTAGAGAGCAGGGAGGGGCAGAGAGAGAGAGACTCTCAAGCAGACTCTGCTGATGCAGAGCCTAACTCAGGCCTCGACCTCACGACCCTGAGATCATGACCTGAGCCAAAATCAAGAGTCGGAAGTTTAACCGACTGAGCCACCCAGGCACTCCTGAATATATTTAGTTTTAAGAAAATCTCACTGTTGTCATTATTTTTCCCATTTTACCATAAATTTTCACACAGACCAGCTTGGATTGGGCCAATGAATCTTGAGAATCACTGTTGTAATTTATTCTTTTGCACCCAAACAGATAAATCTAAAGGAGTTACTCTTGCATTTAAAAAAAAAAAAAATTTTTTTTTTAAAGATTTTATTTATTTATTTGACAGAGACACGGCGAGAAAAGGAACCCAAGCAAGGGGAATGAGAGAGGGAGAAGCAGGCTTCCCGCTGAGCAGGGAGCCCGATGCAGGGCTCGATCCCAGGACCCTGGGATCATGACCTGAGCTGAAGGCAGCTGCTTAACAACTGAGCCATCCAGGTGCCCCTTAAAAAATATTCTTAGTACTGAACTGATTCTCAGGTTGAGAAATTAGGTCCTAAGTACTGTCATCATGCTGGTCTATGTGAATACCATAAGTAGAAACTGTTATTTTGTGAACCTATCACAGGAGCATACATCGGGTCCCAATGCCAGACCATTGAGACTGAGGCAGTACTGAGTACAGTTTTGGGGGTTTTTGTTGTTGTTGTTGTTTTAAAAAAAGGCTCAGGCTCTGGGGTCAGAGAGTCTGTTTGGGTCCACACACTCCTTTTGACTTCATAGGCATGCTTTTTAACCTATCCAGGCCCCATTTTCCTCTTTTATAAAATGGTGATAGTAATAGTATATATCTCATGAATACTTACAAGGATTCAATGTATTGATGCTTAGTGGAGTTTCTGACTGTTGGAAAGTGTTCGTTAAATGTGGGCTATAATCATGACATAATCATTGGTGTATTTAGCCCTTTCACAAATATTCATTGCTTATATGTCAAACTGTGCTTTGTGCTTAGATTAGGAAGATGAATTTCTGTTTTTTAGGAAGTTGGGAGTGTAAATTAGAGAGTTTGACACTTAAGCAACTAGCAGTAGGTATTAAAGTGCACTAGGGACCAGTCATCAATTTTAAAGAGTCCTTGAACATTTGGGAAAGAGTGAGAGAGGGTATGGCAACAAGGAAAACAGGAGAAACAAAGAAATGCTCTTAAATCAGATTGTCCTTGGTGTGTTTGTGGTCTGGATTACTGTAGAATGGTGCAGATAGAGTTTTAAGAGCAAGGATGAATGGGAGATTAGATTAGATGAAGCACAACATTTATAAATGTATAATTAGTGTAATTATTGTATGTATTAGCAGCAGCCCGTAGGCTGTGGAAGAAGTCAAGAAGACTAGAGCTGCCCTTTAGTAGAAGTCTGGAGAAAGAGGAGAATAGAATGTTAATTTTAGTGTTACTTAAGAAGCTGGGGGTGCCTGGGTGGCTCAGTCAGTTACGCGTCTGACTTCGGCTCAAGTCATGATCTCACGGTCCTGGGATCGAGCCCTGCATTGGGCTCCCCACTCAGTGGGGAGTCTGCTTGTCCCTCTGCCCTTCCCCCTGCTTGTGAACTCTCTCTCAAATAAATAAAATCTTAAAAAAAAAAAAAAAATGCTGGTCAGAGGTGGTCTTTAGTGTCCTTGAGAACTCTTTGAATTATATGAATGTCAGTTTCTAGCTTTGATACAGGAAACAAGGGCATCCTGATTCAAAGGCATGCTTTCCTTAGGACATCTCTTATTGCTGTCTCATCCAAAGGAATGCCAGTATTCTCATGGATTCTAATGGGGTGGGGGTGGGAAGATGGGGGGTAAAATGACCTGTAGGATTAGGAGGGTCAAATGGTTCATAGCATCTTGCCCTATCAGAGCTTTCTACAGCCTAAAAGTGTTTGATAAATACAGGTTTGGGTCAAAGCCTTCTGATTCTTCAAAACAGCTTTGCTGAGAATGAGCTTCTCTTGGAAGTTGTAGATCCTCAGGGACCAGGACAGGGTGTTTTATCTAGAAGACAAATTGTATATTAGGCTGCAGGACTCATGAAACCCTTGCCTGTTTCAGACCCTGACCGGAAAGGAGATTGAGATTGACATTGAACCCACAGACAAGGTAATGTATGGCCGGTACTTCATGCCTGTCTCCCTACATGCACATTCATTTAGAAATGCTGATGAACTTAGTCCTTTTCGCTCTCATGCTGTCTGCATAGCTCTTGTTCTTTCCACTTCCATGGTTTTGCCCCTTAGCAGTCCCTGACTACTTGTACCCTTAAAGGTGGAGCGAATCAAGGAGCGTGTGGAGGAGAAAGAGGGCATCCCCCCACAGCAGCAGCGGCTCATCTACAGTGGAAAACAGATGTGAGTTTGACATGGATATGAGGTGTGGCAATCTTACGTGACGTTGAGGGAGCAAATACTGGAGGAGGAGCCTCAGATCCTTTGGTGATTTGGTGAAGCCTGTGAATTCCTTCTCAGAATAAGATTTTTGCAGACATAAAATACATAGATTAACAGGAGCAACTATATTGAGATACAGTTCTCAAAATACTAAAAACAAATTTGTGATAATAATATATATGGTTTATTAATACGTTAAGATCTAATGATGGGTTTAATTTACCATAATTTTGACATATTTTCAAATACTTGCAAACAGTTGTAATATGATATGAAAATATCCAATTTCTGTTAACAGGTTACCCATGTTGCTAATACCACTGTGGGTTTTTTGCTTGTTTTCAAAATTAAAAGAAATAACACATTTCAGTTAAGGGTCAGTAAAAATAAAGATGTAATTTTTTTTTCATCTGAGTTCATAGACCAAGAAGAAGACTCAAGAAACCCAGTGTAAGAATCCTGTTCTAGATGGTATTTCTAAGGCCTTTTTTTTTTTTTTTTTGCCTTCTTTTCCTGCAGGAATGATGAGAAGACAGCAGCTGATTACAAGATCCTAGGTGGTTCAGTCCTCCACCTCGTGTTGGCTCTGAGAGGAGGAGGTGGTCTTAGGCAGTGATGGACCCTCCCTCCATTTTACCTCCTTACCCTGTCGCTCGTAATGAGGCATCATATATCCTCTCACTCTGTGGGACACCAGAGCCACTGCCCCTTCTCCTGGATGCCCAGTCTTGTTTGGTGGGAGACCGTGAGGACGCCAGGACTCAGGGTTCCTGGCCCAAAGGGCCCTTGCTGCCTGTTGGGTTTTAGTTTGCAGTCCTGTGTGCTTCCCTCTCTTATGGCCACGTCCCTAGTTGTCAATAAAATATTTCCTGACCTCCTGGAATCTTTCTTGTATTGCACAAGTGTGACAAGTTGAAATGGACCCAGTACACACTCATTTACACCTCTGAAGAAGTAGGGCAATGGCAGGGAATGTGCCCTTGGGGTGGGGGATTATCAGACTCTAGGAAAGTCTACTCAAGGTGGTGTGGAGCCAGTTCTTACCAGCCCAGGAGATCTAATTATTGGCATCTCTTCCCAACCCCATAAGTGATTTCATGCTGGTAGCTTGAAATTGGCCTCAAGTGGCAAATCAGTCCCTCTCCCCAAACTGGTTGTTACGCATTTACCAGTATACTACTGATGGGGGTGGTAGAAACCAGGACAGTGAATTCTCTCCCATTGTAGCCTCCTGGACATTTGGGCCTGGTTCCAGAAAGGCCTCAAGGGCTTTACGGACACTACATTGTGGCTAAAATGCTGTTCGGGGCTTTGGGTTCTTTTTTTTTTTTTTAAAGATTTTATTTATTTATTTGACAGAGAGAGAGCGAGAGCAGGAACACAAGCAGCGGGAGTGGGAGGGAGAGCAGGCTTCCCGCCGAGGCGGGAGCCCGATGTGGGACTCGATCCCAGGACCCTGGGATCACGACCTGAGCGGAAGGCAGACGCTCAACGACTGAGCCACCCAGGAGCCCATGGGGCTTTGGGTTCTATACTGAACAGAAGACAGGCCGATTTGGAGAAAGGTTGAGGAGTGACAAGCTATGGATCACTTAGGTCTCGATACTGGTAAGAGAAAATGAGAGCGGTGCCAGGCGAAAGGGCTCCCTTCCCTGGCTTCTCTAGTTTAGCCGACCCCGGCCGGGCTGGGTGGAGTGGAGGAGTAAGGGAAGAAGGTGTCTTGGAGAGGCTGGAGCTCTGTGGTCCCCCCGGCGGTGGCGTTGGCACTTTACTGCGGTCCTTGCCCCGCTCCACCATCAGAAGGCGCTCTTGCGCGGTCTCCAGGCAGACGGCCGCAGCCCCGCGCGGCGACGCTCTAGTCGCCGTTTCTCAGGCAGGCGGGGCGGCTTGCAGCCGCGAAGAAAGCCTCGCCCGCCCGCCATGGCGCGGCTCCCGAAGCTGGCGGTCTTCGATCTGGGTGAGGGGACGGGCCTGGGGAGCTTCGCAGGGCGCTCTCCTTTCCCAAACCGCAGCGGCAGCTTCCGAGGCCTGAGCCCTCCCTCCGTCCTCCCGCAGATTACACGCTCTGGCCGTTCTGGGTGGACACGCACGTAGACCCCCCGTTCCACAGGAGCAGGTGAGGCGGCGCTGGGGAGGCCGGCGCCGGGCGGGGCGGGCCGCAGCTGAGCGCGCTCTCGCCCCGCAGCGATGGGGCCGTCCGGGACCGGCGGGGCCGGGCCGTCCGACTGTACCCAGAGGTGCCCGACGTCCTGCAGCGGTTGCGGGACCTTGACGTGCCCATGGCGGCCGCTTCACGGTGAGGAGAGCGACTGGAAAACGCTGCCGGTCTCACGCTGAGAGACGCAGGCAGGAGACGTCTCGCGTAACTCCGGGGCTACAGACACTTCGGCGGGGCAGATTTGCATGTATTTGCATATCGTTGTCATTGGACCCTCTCCTGTGCCTTTAATTTATTAAACATTGGCTCAGCCGCCGCCTGTGTCAGACGGGAAGCATAGGGAGTTGAATGAGGACCGAGGATGCCTCCCTATCCTGGAAAAATAGCAAGTTGATTTCCCCCCTGGTTAAATATAACTTGGCTTGCAGCTCTGGCCCTCCGGATCCCAGCTATGACACCTTCTTGCAGGACAGGGGAGATCGAAGGGGCCAACCAGCTTCTGGAGCTCTTTGACCTTGACAGATACTTTGCTCATCGGGAAATCTATCCAGGCAGCAAGGTCGCCCACTTTGAGAGGTAGGTGGAGATAAGGGTAGAAGTGGGGAGACCAGAGAGGCTGAAGGAGCTAAAAAGCCAGCGGGGCCGCTCCCTGCCCCTCCTTGCACAGGTTGCAGCGGAAGACTGGAGTTGTTTTCTCCCAGATGATCTTCTTTGATGACGAGAAGCGGAATATCGTAGACGTCAGCAAACTGGGTACTGAGTGGTAAGATTAGCCCTTTGGGGAATGAGGAGAAAGGGTTCGGATGAGGGGTTAGGTAGGTATGTACGGGATGGATAATTTGCATGACAATATTTGGGTGACACCCAAAAAAGGTGAGAGGAACAACAGGCCTGATGAAATGTGGCTTTTTTTTTTTTTTTTTTTTTTCCTTTCTAGGAGTTACCTGCATTCATGTCCAGAATGGAATGAGTCTTCAAACCCTAACTGAAGGACTAGAGACATTTGCAAAGGCCCAAGCTGGGCCCTGAGGTCCAGTCTTGTGGATGAGCCTCATTTGAGGCATAAAAGGAAATCCGGAAGGCATTCTCAGATGTATTTGTAAATTATTAAAGCATGTTTGTGTGTGACCGAGGAAGTCCTCCGGCTATGTTTCTATTCGTCTAGCGTTGTAGCCGGCCTCGGCTATCCGGAGGTGCCAGGAGCAGAGCGCGCGGCATTAGTCTTCATCAGGCTGGGCCGTAGAAACTTGTGGCACACCCGACTGTGACCCCCACCCCTTGTGCTCGCCCCATCCGCACTCCGTTCCCTGAGCTCTGCCAAGGGCCCGAAGAACTCTTCCACTGGCCCCAAGCAGTGGGACGCGCGACCCTGCACACTCCCTTCCAGGAAAACAAATACTGTGTTTTGGGGTGGGGGTGCGGCGGCCTTTTTATAGCCCAAAGTGAAGCGGCCGCTTTAAGTGGAGCGAGTGGGTTGGGGGCTGGTGGCTCGGGTCACGTGGTAGAAGTGGCCTCGTCGGCTCCAGTTGATGATGTCGCGGCGGTGCCCCAAGGAGGGATTGGCCCAGGCGGGTCTCGGAGCGCCGAGGCCGCACCCTCCCAGAGCAAGGCGGAAGTTGCCCGACGCCGTGGGGCGGAGGCGGGAGAGGCGAGGGTGGCGATGAGTGGGCTCGGCAGACTCTTCGGGAGGGGTGAGCCGGGGCGAGGCTGGCCGCGGGGGTGCGGGGAAGGCCGTGGACGCGGGCTGTCCCGAGAACCCCATGCGCGGCCTAGCGAGGCCTCCTCACGTGCCAGGAGGCCCCGCCTTGTTAGGGAGCCTGGCTCCGGCTGCCTCCCCTCCCCCGCCCCAGAGAGAAGAGCTGGGGGCCGGCCCGGGACGGGAGCGGAGGGTCCCCACTGTTCAGGCGGGGAGGAGGGGTTGAGTTTCTGCCCGTCCTCATCTAGTCCTTTCCAAAACACTGGTGCTTCCTTTATGCTGGCCAAGAGGGCAGCTGAGGTGATGAAGAAAGATTGCCTACTTAAAGCGCCTATCTGGTGGGGCAAGACGAGCCCAAACTGACATATACAGTGTCGTGTAGCAACTCCATGATGGAGATGGACCTACCACCCAGGGAAGCACAGAAGCAGCGCGGGGGGGGTTGTGAGCCAGAAGGCTGGAGGTATGCCGGGTGGAGAATTGAGGTTGTCCAGGAAGATGTAACTGTGTGCAAAACAGGCAGGAAAGAGTATGGTGTGTGTAGGGGAACGGACTGTGTGTGTGTGTGTGTGTGTGGACGTAACAAAGGCCAGATCAAGAAGGGCCTCGTATGTCTTATTCAAGTTTTGGGTTTTATCCTGTAGGCAATAGAGAGTGTGGAAGGATTTTAAGCAGGCAAGGGCCATCGTTTTTTTAGGAGTGCAGACGATGAAGGGGAAAATTGAGATCAGATTTTTTTTTTCTCTAGCCCCTGTACTTCATTCAGTTTGATCCTGTGGAGTCAGGACCTTGAGCATCTGCTAGGACAGCAAGTGCAACAGTGATTATAAAAAGTGACCAAACTCCGGTGGGGATGTGATAGTGGGGCGGCTGTGCATGTGTGGGGGCAGGGGGTGTATGGGAACTCTGTACCTGACACTCAAGTTTGCTGTGAACCTAAAACTGCTCCGAAAAACAAAGTCTATTATTTTTTTAAAAAGGCCTGGAAATGATTTGAAAGGCAGCTTGGAATAGCAAACGAATACTGGATTTGAAAGTCATACTGCCACATTTCGATTACTCCTCTATTCTTACTAGTTGTGATTTTATTTATTTATTTATTTGACAGACTGAGACACAGCGAGAGAGGGAACACAAGCGGGGGGAGTGGGAGAGGGAGAAGCAGGCTTCCCGCAGAGCAGGGAGCCCGATGCGGGACTCAATCCCAGGACCCTGGGATCATGACCTGAGCCGAAGGCAGACACCCAACGACTGAGCCACCCAGGTGCCCCTAGTTGTGATTTTAAACAAAAACAATTTAACATCTTTGTGCCCTTTTCTGTATTTGTAAAGTGAAGATAGTACATTCACTGTAGAGAGTCCTTTTGGGATTAACAATAATGCAGTCAAGTGCCTAGCACATACTATGCACTTAGTAACTGGTGGCTGGTATTTTTCCTCCACACAATATGGGCCTGCTTGATTGGACTCCAGGGAAGAAGGAGAAGGGGCCAACCCCTGAAGAGGCAATACAGAAACTGAAGGAGACAGAGAAGATACTGATCAAGAAACAGGAGTTTCTGGAGCAGAAGATTCAACAGGAGCTACAAATGGCCAAGAAGCATGGGATCAAGAATAAGAGAGGTAATGGGGGAGAGGTGCCAGTAGGGTGGGCCCAGGTAGGAAGCAAGGGCTTCTGGCTCTGATGTTCAAGGTGTGTGCTGGGTCAGCCGCCCTACAGGCTTTGCGGAGGAAGAAAAGATTGGAACAACAGCTGGCACAAACTGATGGGACATTATCCACCCTGGAGTTTCAGCGTGAGGCCATCGAGAATGCCACCACCAATGCAGAAGTGCTTCGTACCATGGAGCTTGCTGCCCAAGGCATGAAGAAGGCCTACCAGGACATGTGGGTACAGGGGGAGGGAAGCAGGGGGCCCAGGCGCTGGGGAAAGTAGCTTGGTATTGTACTTTGAATGTTAAAACCTCTCAGAATGTGAATTTACATTATAGACATGCCTATGACAGCCAGACCTCTGTCGGTCTCCTTGCTTCCTGTAAGATCTCTTTGCTGGCTAAAGCATTATAAGGAAGAAAGATGATTTAAGACCCTTCAGAGAGGGAAGTGCAGCCTATCCTCCCCGGTGTGGCTTCTTACCAATCCTCAGGCTCCCTTGCCTCTGTACAATTTCCCAGGGACCTCTTCTACCTGATAGCTGTGGATTTATCAGCCTGAGGCCACAGACAGGAGGGTCTTCACTCAGGCAAGACAGGAGAGTCAGGAGGGTTGTTGCCTGATTTCTTGGCTGTATATCTTGTTCTCAGGGACATTGACAAGGTGGATGAACTGATGGCTGACATTACAGAACAACAGGAGGTGGCCCAGCAGATCTCGGATGCCATATCTCGGCCTGTGGGCTTTGGAGACGTTGTGGATGAGGTGATTGGGACTGAGGGGTCAGGGAATATGGGAGAAAGCAGGAGACCAGCCAGAAGGAATGCCCAAGAGGATCATGGGGCAAGTTTGGGGGAGGAGAGGGACTCCAAAAGTGGTATGTTTTTGGGAGTAGAAGTTCCCTTTCTTCATTTTTTTTTTTTTAAGATTATATTTATTTATTTGAGAGAGAGAGCATGAGATCACAGGAGGGGAAGGGCAGAGAGAGAGGGCAGAGTCCTAAGCAGACTCTGATGAGCTTGGAGCCCAACATGGGGCTCGATCTCACAACCTTGAGATCAGAGCCCTGAGATCACAACCTGAGCTGAAATCAAGAGTCTCACGCTTAACCAGCTGTGCCACCCAGGCGCCCCTCATTTCTTCATCTTAAACAGTTTTATTGTTCCATATCCAGGATGAACTGTTGGAAGAGCTAGAGGAGCTGGAGCAGGAGGAATTGGCCCGGGACTTGTTAACTGTGGGTGACAAGGAGGAAGAACCCCCCATTGAACTGCCCACTGTACCCTCTACACATCTGCCTGCAGGACCAGGTACTCAGGGCTATTCTGTTGTCTTAAGGACTTGAGGAGGTGGGATAGATATGGGGAAAGATTATTCCTCTTACATCCTGCTTCAAAGGAACCAGGCAGAGAGGGCTGCTGCTACCGTTGCACAGGTTGTTGACTGCATAAGGGCACCTGGCTGAACAGGAATGAAGACTAAAGTCCAGCTTGTGCCTCATTCAGCAAGCTGGGTACCCTGGGGTAGGGCTGCAAGTTCTGGGAGAGAGAAGCACATTTTCTTCATTTGTACAAGGGTGCCCTGGGAGTTAGCAGCAGCCCAGCGAGCAGAAGGACCACACCTTTAGGTTCTTTGCTGGGGAAAGAAAATTCAGCAGACTTCCAGTGTTCTAGCAGGGGATTGTTGGAAGTTGCTACCGCCCTAACGTTTCTTTCTTTCTCTGGGTATCCTTGTCCCTGAAGCTCCTGAAGCAGATGAAGATGAAGAAGCACTAAAGCAGTTGGCTGAGTTGGTATCCTGATAAGTCTGGGCTTGTTCTCCCAGTGCTGCCTTCATTGGTCTCTTTTCCTTAAGTGCCAAGTGCTAAGCTAAAGGAACATAGCCTTTTGGGGAGGTCCTGCTGAGGGTGATAGTGTGACCCTGTCTGAAAAGGGGTTGTCGCCCTCCCCTCCCTGGCTCAACTCTGAAAAAGGACCTTGGTGCGAGAGGAGCCCCTGGGCTCCCTTCTCTGATAGCAGTTACAGTGCCCTTGTTCCCAATAAAATCGGGCAGATGGAACCATAGTGCTTATACTGCCTCGTCTACACCTGAAACTCTTCCCTGGCCTTTGGAGCTTTGTTTCAAGCATTGAATCACAATGGGAGTAATGAAGGGAATAACGAAGTATTGGAACAGAGAACAAATGGGAGTTGACAATATCTTGACCTACTATGTTCTAGGTAGGTACTATTTCATCTTTCAAGTTGGTTTGTCCTAGAGTTGCCTAGTGCTGAGGTTCAGCACAAGTATTATTTATCTTCGACCCATATGGAGCTGTCTCTGAGTCTTCTCTCATTGCTTTCCCCCAATCATGCCTCTGCCAAGACAGCCCCATGATTTACTACTCATTTTCCTTTTTCAAAGCCCATTTTCAAGGACAGGGAGGGAGAATATAGGGATGAAGGAGCAAGTAGCTTTCCTTTATTCAGAACCCACAGTAAATAGGCTTGTTTGAACTGTCATTTAGGTTTTTTTCTTTTCTTTTTTTTTTTAAGATTTGTTTACTTATTTTGAGAGAGCGTGGAAGCAGGAAGGGCAGAGAGAGGAGAGAGAACCCCAAGCTGACTCCCTGTTGAGCGCAGAGCCTGATTCGGGGCTCAGTCCCACAACCCCGAGATCATGACCCAAGCTGAAACCAAGAGCGAGACGCTCAACCAACTGCGCCACCCAGGCGCCCTTGCCATTTCTAAGAGCAATCGATGAGGGACCATGATTCACTGGGATTGTTCCAATAGTGGTTAAGGTGGCATCTGGAGAAGGGAGAAGGAACCAAGATATTTCACACATCCTGATGCCCATTTCAAAGAGAACAAATAATGCCATCCCTTCGGACTGTAAACAGAGGCAGAGCCATAACCAAATAGCAACTGGGGCCCCTTTCCCACTGCTTGAACATTTAGAGTGCACAGAGATGTAAAATAATGAGCATTTACTTAGCCAGAATAATGAAGCTTCCCCAAAGTGTGTGTTTATGCCAGCACCCTCTCCTCCATGAGCCACATATGAGCTACATTGTGAATTACCCTATTGACTTACAGACATCAAGGTGACTGGTTACAGACTCTGGTTAGAAATCCACCTCTTGGTCTCAGTAGGGTTCCCTGCTAAGGTTCCCCTGAAGAAAGAATGTCTTTGACCCCAGCTGATGAAACTAAATCAGAAATAGATTTATTTTTGGTATAGAGGATTTTTAGCCCCAGACCCTCCTGCTTTGCTCCTCTCCCAACCCCTTCCTTCAACCATTTTTAGGTATTGATTTCCAAGGATTGGTGCCGATTAGTGGTGCTGGGGGGTTGGCACATGGCCTCAAGCAGCCTGATCTCCTGGGTGGGTTGCTCAGGCTGGAACTTGAGCACCCAAGGATCCTTGATGATGTCCAGGATGGTGGCACGCTTGGTGGCTTGGCGTAGCGTCTGGAGGACCAGGTTCTAGGGCAGGGGAAAGAGAGGTCTTGGCTGAGCTTGCCCCCCATTGTGCCACACAGGCAGTGAGCAGTTGGACCTAAGAGAAGCAGGATAGCCCATCACACCACTCTGGTGAAAGGGGGTGTGGTCCTGATTTTGTCCTGAAGAGCCAGGCATTTAACTCCCTGGAGGAGAGAGAAAGGAAGGGTACCGTGGGGGAAACCTCTTGCATAATCCCTTTCTGGCCTAAAGAGACAGAGGCTGAAACCTGCTTATGACTCCCAGGTAAGGTGCCGAGCCCAGGGGTGGCCCTTTAAGGTCCCTCCCCGCCAACTCCTCTAGGGCAGGGGCTAAAGTGTGAGATGGGTCTGGTGGGGAAGAGCCTCCCCCGGGGTGGGGAGGCCTAGGATGGGTCTTCCCTCCCTGTGGGTCATCCCTGAGGCCTCAGCCCTCCTGGGGGAGCCAGCACCTTGCACTCCTGGGAGATGGAGTAGTTAGGTGGAAAAGTGACCTCCTTTTGAGTCTCTTTCAGCAGCTTCTTGAGATTGGTGTCATCAAAGGGCAGCCGGGCGACCACTAGAGTGTAGAGGATGACGCCCATGCTCCAGGTGTCAGACAGGAAAGGGTTGTAGGGCAAGCCCAGCAAGATCTCCGGGCACGCATAAGCAAAGCTGCCACAGTAGGTCTGGCTGAGGTGGTTTGTAAAGCAGTTCATTTGGCGGTAAGAAGGGCTACTATGCACTGTCTGGTTAGAAGGCACCATCTTGGCGAAGCCAAAGTCCGATATCTTCACATTCTCCCGCTTGTCCAGCAACAGGTTCTCCAACTTTAAGTCCCTACCAGCAGCAGAAAGGCTGGGGGTCAGGCTGGGGAGAGGGCTTAGTATTAGACCGGGAGCTGAAGGGCCAGGGGTCAGAGGCTAGAGAAAAGGCAAGGTGGGAGAGAGGTACCTTTATGAGGATACAAGGTAGAGAGGAAAGAGCCATGGAGTTGTGAGCAGAGCCCAAAGGTGAGAGAGGATGGTACCTGAGGACTACAGGGGGCTCGTCATTGTAGTTCAGAGTGCCGTGCTCACGGTGGGCGCTACTGAAACGTTCTTGAGCAGAGAATTAAGATAGAGGGGATGAATGGGCCTAGATAACTGAGGGAGGTCAAGGGAGGAACAAAGAGGGCAGAAAGTGGGAAACATGCATAAACCCCCCCCGAGAGCCCAAAGGCCCCAGCCTGGCTGGCAGCGCCCTCACCGGTGCACGATGCCCTTGCTGTGCAGGTAGGCGATGCCCAGGGTCATCTGGGAGAACCACTTGCCAGCAAGGGGCTCAGAGCAAGCCCCATATCGCTGGATCCACTCGAGGACATCACCGCCCTGAGCCAGCTCCAGAATGATGTATACTCGGGATGTGGTTTCGATGGCCTGGTAGAAGTTGATGAGGTATTTGTGCCGCAGGACCTTCATGACCTGGCCCCGGAAGAGGGACCCATCAAACCTGGGAAGGGAGAACCCGGGCTGTGCTCCCAGGCCTCCTGCTGTCCCACGGCTAACTTAACTTAGAACTCTGCAAGCGGATTAAACTCCAGAGGGCTGGGTGATCTGTGGGCAAACCCTCGGCTTTGGACTTCTACTTTGTGAGGGGCTGGACTGGAGGTGAGTGGGTGGGTGGAAAGAGGTTGAATTTACATCAAGTCATTTTCCTGCTGCTTAGTGAGACATTCAGGCCTGCGGGGGGGTGTGTGGGGGGGGTGTTCTCACTCCACCCCCTCCTAACCACACCCCTTCTGAGAAGTTTTAAGCAGCTTGGTCTCAGTTCCCTTTCCAACCTGTATCTCACGGGGCAGGAACTTGTTAAGATAGTCCTCAGAGGCCTTCTTCTTTGAGATGATCTTGACAGCCACCATGACCTTCTGCTTTGTGTAGTAAGCCTCATACACCGTCCCATAGGAGCCATTGCCAATGACCTTGCCCACCTCGTAACCATAGTCCTCCATGACGGAGCGGTAGGCTGAGGTAGGTGGTGCTACCTCCGAGGTGTCTCCCTTCCCCATGGTGTTGGGCTTGCTGAGAGCAGGGAACTGTGCTACTTCGAAGCCTATTATCTGCTCAGAAAGCCAACCTTGAGCCACCGAGGGCTGGGGTAACAAAGTAAAGTTAGTCTCCAAATGCTTGCCTATATAGTCATGTGAGTCTGGGATGCTGGGCTCACCTCCCCACTGGGAACGTGGAGCGGGGAGAAGGGGGCAGCAGTTCTTTTTGTCTCCACTGGCTGTTGTTACTTCTTCCTCCTCCTGGTTACGGAATTCGCCAAGGTCCCATGTTCCGCATACATCACAATTCACCTTCTTTCCACCTTGGGCCACAAGGCTTGAGAATGAAGTGCACGGTGGAACATATTCCTGGGGGCAGCTTCTGCAGTCTGGTGAGACCCCCCCCACATAGATCTAGTCCCTTCACCCATTCATGTCCATTGAGAGCACCCACTGTGTGCCAGGCCGTGCACTGAGTACTGGGATAAAACAGCTAATAACGCCAACAGAGACCCTGTACTCAGAGTTTATTATCCAGAGTGAGAAACTTGCGTGTGAGAATATGACAGAGAATCGCAAGGTGTTGTAGAAGCCTATTCTAAGGAATCTTAACTTTACAATGTTTTTTGTTTGTTTGTCTGGCTTAAAGCAACCACCCTTTTATTTATTCATTTATTTTCTGGCAAGTTGAGCTGTGCTCAGTTGGGTGGTTCTTCTGGTGGTCTCATCTTAGCTGGGGTGGTTTGTTTCTGCTGCATATGGTCTCACTATCCAGCGGACTAGCCAGAGTTCCTCTACATAGTAGCACAGAATTACATGAGGAAAAAAAAAAAAAAGAAATTGCATGATCAATTAAGCCCAGACTCCAAAATTGCAGAGCATCACTTCCATACCTTTATACAAGTAAAGACAGTTTCAAGGTTACAAGGATCCCAGATTGAAGGGGTGGAATAGACTCCACCTGGGAACTCTGAAATGCATTCTTATCTTCCCATGACCCTAAGTTCTGTACTTTTCCTCCTATCCCTCTAGCCATTCCTCAGGCTTCACTGGAGCCTTATCTTCTCTGTCTGTCCCTTAATCATATCTGGAAGGTTCTACCACAGGCCTTATTTCCTCAGAGCTTTATGTCCTCCCATTAGGATCTCACCCATTTCCCAACACTTTAGTTATTACATCCATGCTGACTCCTCCTAATCTCATCTCTATCCCAGATGTCCTCTGGAGTTCCAGATCCAGCATCCAGTTGCTTACTGGACATCACATGGACATGTCTCTCTCAGGTATCTTAAACTCACCATGTCCAAAATTCAACTCTTTCTGTTCTTGCCCTAGACGTCCTCTGTTTTGTTCTGGTTTTTTTAAGATTTTATTTATTTGACAGAGAGAGAGAGCACAAGCAGGGGGGGCGGCAGGCAGAGGGAGAGGGAGAAGCAGGCTCCCCGCTGAACAAGGAGCCCAATGTGGGGCTCCATCCCAGGACCCTGGGATCATGACCTGAGCCGAAGGCAGACGCTTAACCGACTGAGGCACCCAGGCACCCTCTGTTGAATTCTATACTCATCTTCAATTTACACACCCAGTCATCCTAGACCCTTCCCTCTGCCTCAGCCCCTACATCCAATCTGTCACCTCTTCTACCTCTTAAAACTATCTTTAATAATACACTCCAGGCTCTTGAAGCGGCTGCCACCACCTTAGGTCAAGCCTCCATCAACTGATCACTCTAGCATGGCTTCTGCTCCCCTCCAGTCTGTCTTCACCCTGAACTCCAAGGCATAACACAGATTTGATTCCCACTTAAAAACAATTCCGTGCCTCCCCATTTGCCTCAGGATCAAGTCCAAATTCTTTTATATGGCTTCAACATCTGACCCTGCTTAGCTCTCCAATTTTATCTTTAAAGATTTTATTTTTATTTATTTGACAGCACAGCAGGGGGAGCGGCAGAGCAGAGGGAGAGGGAGAAGCAGGCTCCCCGCCGAGCAGGGAGCCCAATTCAGGACTCGATCCCAGGACCCTGGGATCATGACCCAAGCCGAAGACAGATGCCTGACGATTGAGCCACCCAGGCGCCCCTAAATAGAATCTTTAAAAAAAAATATTCAAGCACCTGTACCCAAGATGCTAAAAAAATCTTAACAGTGTTAAAATCATGTGTCTATAAATTGTGTTTTTAACCTCAGTTGGACCCCCAAATGCTGCCCAGTGATCCTGCTCATTTTCCAGATCAGCTCGCTTCCATTCTCCACAACCCATTCTTCTCAAACCTCTTAACTTCATCTCCCTCTTCTGGTCAGTTGACCTTCCTTACAGCCCTAATGGGAGATGCAAGCAGAAAAAACACAATTACAGACACTACGTTAGATGCTGTGACAGAGAAAGTACTGGGGCTCTGGGAGCACCCAGAAAGGAGGAACATCCAGTTTGGGCTTGAGCAGTCAGTAAAGGTGTCCTTAAAACAGCTCATGAGCTAAGTCCTCAAGGAAGAGTAGGGGTTTGCCAGGACAGAGGGAACAATGAAGGAAAAGTAATTCTGCTTGGCTGGAGCACTGCATGTATGTTAAAAGATAAAATTGGGGGTGCCTGGGTGGCTCAGTGGGTAAGCATCTGCCTTCAGCTCAGGTCATAAACCCAGGGTCCTGGGATTGAGCCCCGCATCAGGCTCTCCGCTCAGGGAGCATGCTTCAATTTATTTGACAGAGAGGGAGCGAGCACAGCAGGGGTAGCAGCAGAGGGAGAGGGAGAAGCAGGCTCCCCGCTGAGCAGGGAGCCCCATGTGGGGCTCGCCTTGCTAGAGGGGTTACCTGGATTTAAGACTGTGTGTGTGCAGGGTGGGGGGTGGCATGCAGGGGAAAGGACAAAAGAAGAATCAGATTTATTTTCTATCTTCCAAAAAAAAACAACTCCAAGAACAGATTGTGCCGTAGGCTACTGGTAAATTCCTGTTTATTGACAGCCTGCTGATCCTGCTGGCAGGGTAGTTCCAGAGTTTGTTGGAAGCTAGATCTACATTCTCAAACTGCCAAGATGAGTTGTCCAGGACACACCATGGTAAGGAGGCCCACTCTGCTCCGCCCATCTTCTGCTCCTCTGGATAGGTAGCTTGGTGGCAGCTCTGTCCTCATCATGTCCAGCGGGTAAACCAGTTTATTCAAAAAACGTGTATTAAGCTGCCTACTTTATACAAAAGCACTGCTAAGTCCTGAGGATATCAAGATGGATAAATTACAGTCTTCCTGTGAGTAGTTAGTAATTAGCAAGGAAAACAGACACATAAGTAAAATAACAGTACAGTGAGATAAATTGCTATAAACAAAGACTGGAAGATGTAGAGGCAGGCTTTATAGAGGAGGCATTTGTACTGTTCAAGAGGAGTCTCCAGGCAGGTAAGTAGGGAATGGTAGATGGGGCAGTCTAGGCCAAAGCAACTATATGAGCTTGCAGGCTTGAGAGAACATGACATTCGAGATTCTAATTTGAATACAATTAATGTACCTGGAGAAGTAATGAAGATCCAGGTCTGACAGGCCTCACATACCAAGCTTTTTAGAGTTTATCCTATGTACTCATGGTCAAATTTTGGTCGAAATAGTCAAAGTCAGAGCCTGTTAGAAAATGATGCCTAGTCACCTCCTCCTCTAAGATCCTGATTTCATGGACCCAGATCTCCATGTTTTTAATAAGCTTCTAGCTGAATCTGATGCACACCAAGATCTGAGAACCACTGTTGCAGGAAATAGTATATATAGTGTGTATATGTATGAATCAGCAGCAGAGTGGAAAATGGATCCAAGAGGGGAGGTGACCAGGAGACTAGCAAGGTGGTTGTCATGGTAATTTAGGTGCAAGAGGATGAGACCCGAAGCTAGGCAGCCAGGGAGGGCAAGTATTTGGAAGATATTGAGGAAATAAGCAGCAGGGGGGCTTGACGACATTGATCTGAGGAGGCTGGGGGTTGGGACGGGGGAGTAAGTGAGAAAGAGTCCCAGGTTTCTGGCTTCTCTAAGTTACTTTTCTAATTACAAAATTCACTGATTTATCTAAAAAACTCAATCTCCTACTTCCTAGAACCTCACCTCCTCCTCCTGTAGGGAGGAGGGCTGGGTCAGAGAGTGCAGAAGAGGGTAAATGGAGGACTTTTCAGGCCAGAAGCCACTTAAGATTTTCCCCTGTACTACTTTCCGGAAAGAGAACCTTAAGTCTGCATCCTTTTTTTTTTTTTTTTTTTAAGATTTTATTTATTTATTTGAGAGAGAGAAAGCACATGAGAGGGGGGAGGGTCAGAGGGAGAAGCAGACTGTCTGCTGAGCAGGGACCCTGATGCGGGACTCGATCCCCGGACTCCAGGATCATGACCTGAGCCGAAGGCAGTCGCTTAACCAACTGAGCCACCCAGGCGCCCTTAAGTCTGCATCCTTACATGTTGCCCCCAGGTGGCCAAACGGTAGTCACTGCCCCTGGGTCTGATCTTTAAAATTCCCCTAATGGCAGATTCCCTTAAAGTAGCGGAGACAAATAAGGGCAAACTTTTCCAGAAAAATCTGCAATACAAAATTAAGAAAAGCCCGAACACGTACAAACAAATACGAACAAAAACATCGAAAGAGTCGAACGTCTGTCAAGATTCTTTACCTGCAAGTAACGATAGCCTGTCAGGCTGCCCAACTCACGGAATAAAAGGGCAGACACCCTGTCTCTCTGCGTGCCTCCGCACCACACCTGGCTCAGGCTTGCTACGTTCGAACATGGGACGGTCATTATATGGCCAGGGAGGCCTCCAATGCAGCCTCCGGAAGATATTTTTATTCACGTGTTTATTTTTCGGCGGGAGACCATTCGTGACGGGTTAAGAGAAGCAGTGAGGTGAGATCCCGACCTGCATGGACTGTGCTCGCGCTGTCCTAGCACAGAGACGCCCAAAGCCTCACTCACCCCCGCCCGGGTTGGGGGCCATGGACCGCCTCCCAGAGCTCGCCCTCTGCAGTCGGTGGCGAGTCCCATTGGTTCAGTCGGCAAATGCTCCGGGGCGTCCACTAGGTGTGGGCCCAGCCACCAACCGGGCTCCGTCTCCTGGACAGTCACTGGACGCGTGCGGCGGGCACGGCTCCCCGGCTTCCGCCCGTGCCCCAGGTCTTCCCGGGGGCGGCGGCCGGCGCCTCTCACCCTGAAGGGACGTCCGCGGCCTCGCAGCCAGGCCTCAGCCGTAGCCCCGGCCAGAGAAACCGGCAGAGGAGCGGCGCCCCGGCCGCCGCGGCGGGGGCGTGGTCCCCGCTCGGCTCCAGGAGCGGAGTTTTCCGCCGGGCTGAGGTCCCGGCGGGTGAGGCGGAAGTGGTAAGACTGACGTGTCCTGGGCTGCTCCGCAGATCGCCGGGAGGGCCCCCGCCGGGGGGAGGGGGCGGGCCAGCCGAGCCTTGCGGGCTCTCCGGAGCTGCGCCGGCCTCCCGGCTGGAGAAAGCGCGTCGGGGAGCACCTCACTAAGCCGAGTGCGGCGTCCCGCGTGGTGCGGCCGCAGCCGCTGCGATCAGGCACCGCGGCGGCCAACCCCGTGGAGGTCGGGCGTCAGGTCCTCTCCGGGCCGCCGCTAGCGCGCCGCTCTGGGGGAGACCCGGGCAGGAGCCCAGGGGCAGCTACGGGGCCGCAGAGGCCGCGGGCGCCGCCTCGGCCAGCCCTACCCGAGCGGTGAGGACCCCGCGGGTGCCGCGGGAAGGTGCCCGAGGTGCGAGGCCGCGCGGCGTTGCCATGGAAACGGGCTGGGGCGCGCGGGGAGGTCCCGGGCAGGCGGGCTGCGGGACGGGGACCCCAGATCCAGAGGACGAGAGAGCAGAGGCGGATAGAGACAGTATTGTGGGGGGGTCGGGGGGCGGCCTCCCGAGGGAGGGTTCGAGAGGCCAAGGGGAGAAATTGGAGCTATGGGGCTTCGTTTCGAAGGACCTGAGCTGGGGCGTCAGGAGTTGATCCCTGGTTTTCAAAACTGCAGGATTCCCCCAAACAGGTTCCACTGCCTTAAGGATGACAGTCCTAGGGCACCCGCCGAGTTGGAGCTGCCAGTGGTTGCCATTCCTGATACTGCTGCTGGGCACAGGCCGTGAGCCAGGGGTGGAAGGTGTGACACACTACAAGGCCGGTGACCCCGTCATTCTGTATGTCAACAAAGTGGGACCCTACCACAACCCTCAGGAGACTTACCACTACTATCAGCTTCCGGTCTGCTGCCCGGAGAAGATCCGTCACAAAAGCCTTAGCCTGGGTGAAGTGCTGGATGGGGACCGAATGGCAGAGTCTTTGTACGAGATCCGCTTTCGGGAGAATGTGGAGAAGAGAATTCTGTGCCACATGCAGCTCAGTTCTGCACAGGTCAGCCTCTGCACATTGGCGAGCACTTAGCCCTCCCTCCCGGGGACTAATAACAGTGCCTTCTAATTCACGGTTTTATAGCACCTCTGTGGAAATGATTTGACTTGATTCTAACGCCAACCCCACTGGTAGGCAGGACAGGTGGTACTATTTGCATTCAGTTGAGGAAGAAACCTACTTGCTCAAAAGCGACTTTTCCAAGACTACATGGATATTGAATTGCAGAGGTGATACTAGAGCCCAGGGCTCCTGACTCCAAGCCGCTCTGTTGGTAATAAGGGCCCAGCTGTCACTCCTGCATGGTTTCCCTCCATACCTACCTCTTGGCTTTCTTAACTAGCTCCTTTCCACTCTTATCTTTCCTGTAATGCTTTTTGCTTTAGCAAATCCTACCTTAGGGCGCTCTTCTTTAGTCTACCCTAGACCTTCTTACACCTTGCCTTTCTCCTTTTTCTACACCTTAATCCCCTTCAAGTCATACTGCTCTTTTTGGAGAATCCCAGCATACTAGGATCTAACCCAGTGGTTCTCAACAGGGGGCAGTTCGGTTTTGTCTCTCAAGGGACATTTGGCAATGTCTGGAGATCATTTTGATTGTCACTATGGGGGGTGCTACTGACACCTAGTGGGAAGAAGCCAGGGATGGTGCATATTACAGTGCACAGGACAGCTGCCCACAATAAAGAACTATCCAGCCCAGAATGTGAGTAGTGTCCAGGCTGTGACACCTTGCTCTAACCCTCTGCCTGGGGAGGCCTTGTCTGACTCCTGACTTGCTCTTTGTAGGTGGAGCACCTGCGCCAGGCCATTGAGGAACTGTACTACTTTGAATTTGTAGTGGACGACTTGCCAATCCGCGGCTTTGTGGGCTACATGGAGGAAAGTGGCTTCCTGCCTCACAGCCACAAGATAGGGCTCTGGACCCATTTGGATTTCCACCTAGAATTCCATGGAGATCGAATTATATTTGCCAATGTCTCGGTGCGGGATGTCAAGCCCCACAGCTTAGATGGGTTACGAGCGGATGAGTTCTTAGGCCTCACCCACACCTACAGTGTGCGCTGGTCCGAGACTTCAGTGGAGCGTCGGAGTGACAGGCGCCGTGGCGATGATGGTGGTTTCTTTCCCAGAACACTGGAGATCCATTGGTTGTCCATCATCAATTCCATGGTGCTTGTGTTTTTACTGGTGGGTTTTGTGGCTGTCATTCTCATGCGTGTGCTTCGAAATGACCTGGCTCGATACAACTTGGATGAGGAGACTACATCTGCAGGTTCTGGTGATGACTTTGACCAAGGTGACAATGGCTGGAAGATTATCCATACAGATGTCTTCCGCTTCCCTCCGTACCGTGGTCTGCTCTGTGCTGTGCTTGGTGTGGGTGCCCAGTTCCTGGCCCTTGGCACTGGTGAGGTGATAAAAATTAATCAGGGATTTCTCTCAAGGGGTAGAACTAAGCAGGTGGTTTGTTCTGGAAAGATCTGCTGATCCTCTCTTCTGTCCAGGTGAGGGGCAGACCTAAGGGGTGGGGTGGCCTTAAAAAGGATGTGTATAGGGGCACCTGGGTGGCTTAGTCGGTTAAGCGTCCGACTCTTGATCTCAGCTCAGGTCTTGATCTCAGGGTCGTGAGTTCAAGCCCAGCGTTGGGCTCCATGCTGGGCATGGAGCCTACTTGAAAAAAAGAAAAAGAAAGGATGTGTATATTCAGTTGTGGGTTTGCTGGACAACAGAATTAGGGGATATTGTTTTCCTGGAGACCTTGGGTCTGGGTGGAAGGGGGCTGATTCCTCTGAAATTGCCAGAAAAGGGATAGGTTGAGACCTGACACAGGCTTTCCACTACCACCCTGCAGGCATTATTGTCATGGCGCTGCTGGGCATGTTCAATGTGCACCGTCACGGGGCCATTAACTCGGCCGCCATCTTGTTGTATGCCCTGACCTGCTGCATCTCTGGCTACGTGTCCAGCCACTTCTACCGGCAGATTGGAGGCGAGCGTTGGGTGTGGAACATCATTCTCACCACCAGCCTCTTCTCTGGTGAGGACTGTCCTTTCCCTGGTGGGCTGGCCTGGTGGGCCGATTTGAGGAACTTAGAATACGTTGTGGAACCTGGGATAGAGTTAGAGTAAGGCTTTAAGGGAATAAAAATAGGCAAAAGAAACAAAACCATTCAGAAGACCAGAATGCATTTCTTTTGCATAGTCAAAAATTAAGTAAGTCCTTAAAATGTTCTAGGCAGCATGGTAAGCACTCGACACACTTCATCTCATTAAATCCCCACAGCAACCCTATGTGGTAGGTAATATTGTCCCCATTTTATAGATGAGGAAGTTGAACTTCAGGCTGCTTAAGTAATTTGCCCGACATTACACTCCTAAGAGGGAGTAGAGCAGGTTTCAGACCCAGGCAGTCTGACTCAAGAGCCCGTATTTGTGACCATTACATGAAGAGTGAAATAACACTCTTTCTGAAACTTATGTTTTGGTACTCTCCCTTTAAAAAAAATTTTTTTTTTATTTGGAGGTGGCTACGGGACTCTAGCCTTACAAGCTGGTTTGTCATTTCAAAGGCCGTAGTAGTCTGCATTCTAAGCCTTTTGTGTTCCCAATCCTGTCTGATTTATATTTCATCACATTTATGTTTGAACCAGAGCTTTCTGAAAACAGGGCCTTAATCCAAAGGGACGTCTCATGCTAGGAATCACAGATGCCACAGCAGGATAGGGCCTTGGAGGCAGGTGGATTGTGTTACTCTAGAGCATTATGTAACAGTGGCCTTGCTCTTTAACGATAATGACGGGGGAGGGGATGTTGGTAAGAAAAGGAACAGGAAACCACGGGATGTGGAAGGGCGAGGTCCACCTGCGAGCAGGATGCTTCGCCCCTCTCCCTGTTAGGTCTAGTCTGAGTGGGTGGCCCCGGGATGTAGCTCCTCCTGCTGACCCTCCTTCTGGGGGCGCATCCCTGCAGTGCCTTTCTTCCTGACGTGGAGTGTGGTGAACTCGGTGCATTGGGCTAATGGTTCGACACAGGCTCTGCCAGCCACCACCATTTTGCTGCTTCTGACGGTTTGGCTGCTGGTGGGTTTCCCCCTCACTGTCATTGGAGGCATCTTCGGGAAGAACAATGCTAGCCCCTTTGACGCACCTTGTCGCACCAAGAACATCGCCCGGGAAATCCCACCCCAGCCCTGGTACAAGTCTACGCTCATCCACATGACTGTTGGAGGCTTCCTGCCTTTCAGGTATCCTCCCTTTATGCCAAGGCCATCACTCTCAGGTTCCTGACTTTTCCTTTCCCAGTACCCTAGCCCAGTAAGAGTGATAATCCCTAGTTCAGCTTTACCATTAAGAGATCATTAAATGGGTCCTCCTTTCTCCAAGCAGGACTCCGCGTGAGGTAGTTCACAGATGAGGGTGTCCCACTTAAAAAGCTCTCCAGAGACCTTGTTCCTTTCACCATCTTTCTGGTTTCTGACTTCAGCGTCCACAGGCACCACGTGGGGCTTGAAGCCCATGTGATTGAGTATTCAGTTTGTTGAGTACCTCCAGTGCCAGGCAGATAAGACAGCAGAAAAGAAAACAGACAAGATCCTTGCTCCCAACCAATGAGGGCAGATGCTTTTGAAATGAGCACCGCTAGTCGCGGGTAGAAGAGTCCCTGCGGAGCCGGGAACTCCCGGGCAGGGAGCGGAGCGGACCGGCACCACCGGGGGGGTGGTGGCTGGGTGTGGAGCTGGTCACTGGGCTGGCGGTGCACAGCCCTTTGATGCCGTGTACCGTCTCTTCTCTTCACAGTGCCATCTCCGTGGAGCTCTACTACATCTTTGCCACAGTCTGGGGTCGGGAACAGTACACTCTGTACGGCATCCTCTTCTTTGTCTTCGCCATCCTGCTGAGCGTGGGAGCGTGCATCTCCATTGCGCTCACCTACTTCCAGCTGTCTGGGGAGGATTACCGCTGGTGGTGGCGGTCTGTGCTGAGTGTTGGCTCCACTGGGCTCTTCATCTTCCTCTACTCCGTTTTCTACTATGCCCGGCGCTCCAACATGTCAGGGGCCGTACAGACAGTAGAGTTTTTTGGCTACTCCTTACTCACAGGTTACGTCTTCTTCCTCATGCTAGGTACCATCTCTTTTTTTTCTTCCCTAAAGTTCATCCGTTACATCTATGTTAACCTCAAGATGGACTGAGTTTTGGGTGGCAAAACCATTGCTCTTCTCTCCCATTCTTCACGTCCAGAGGCCCACTGAGCTCTCTCACCAACGTCTCTTCTGATTGAATTGTGTGACGGCCTTGCTGCTTTCCCCTTTGCCCTTGGGGCCTCCCTTCCCCCGGAGGGCCTGGAAATTACAAAGCTCTATTCTATAAGGAGTATATATTTGAACTTTGTAAGTTGCCTTTAGTTTGGGTCCTGATTTTCCTTTTTACAATTATCAAAATAAAATTTATTAAGAAAAAAGGATCCTGTAGTTGGAGGGTTTGGTCTGAATATAGGAACTCGAGCCCTGCCGTTAAGGGCGCTGTCCCTTAGAAAGCCGGGTCGGCGGCGGAACGCACGGAACGCGAGTTCTCCTCGGAGCTTGGGAACTCTCGGCCGGGGGAACCTGTCTTGCCGGGGCCCTGTTTCCGCGGCTCGGCGGGCGCGCAGGCCGACGGAAGTGGCCAAGCCGCAGCTCCGTGTGGGAAGCGAGTTGAATCACCCTGGCGACGGAGGGGGGCGCGGAGCACCGCCCTTTCCGCCGGAAGCGGGTTTCAGGGCCTCCACGTGCAGCCCTTCCCCCCTCCCGACCCAGTAGCGGCGGCTCGGCTGCTGCCATGGAGCCCGCCGGGCTGGAGCAGATCCTGCGGGAGCTGCTGCTGCCAGACACCGAGCGCATCCGCCGGGTACGGGACAGGGGGGACCCGGCCGGGGCGAGCGGGAGGTAGTGGGAAAGGCCTGACTCTGACCCCGGGACTCCTCCCAGGCCACCGAGCAGCTCCAGACCGCTCTTCGGGACCCGGCCGCCCTGCCCGCCCTCTGCAACCTGCTCGCCTCGGCGGCCGACCCTCAGGTGAGGCGCCTGCCCCTTCCCGCGGAGCGTCCCATAGTACGCCACCGGTCTAGCCCCAGCTTGTCCCCTGCGCCCCGCCCAGCACCTTCCTGCCGGGACCCTCATATGCGTGCTTCCTCGTCCCAGATCCGCCAGTTCGCGGCCGTGCTGACCCGCAGACGACTGAGCACCCGCTGGCGACGGCTGGCGGCTGAACATCGGGAGAGGTGGGCGGGGCCAGGGACGGGGCGGGGCCCGGCGGAGGCGGCTCCGGGGCGGGCCAAGTACCCACACCTGCCACCTGTGTTCCAGCCTCAAGTCCCTGGTCCTGACCGCCCTTCAGAGAGAGACCGAGTAAGTGCCTCCCTGCTTCCTCTTGGGATTGTGACTGAGACCCTCTGGGTTTCTGCCTTGCTTTTCAGCTCCGGACAGGGCCGGGGAGGGAGAATGATGTCAGTTCTAGACCAAGGGGGAGCAAGAATTCTAAGACTGTGTTGAAGGCTAAATTTCATGAGAATGGGCTATGGTGGTCTGCCAAACCCGAATCAGAAAAGTGGAACCGAAATTCAGTCTGCGTGAGGCCAGGCTCATCAGATTACACACTCAGCTTGCTGCTCCCTGTGAGCCACCGTTTTATGTGTCCCAATTTGGCAGACCCTCTGCCCACACTCGGAGGTTTCTGTCCTGGCCACCCCATGGAGGCAGGCCCAGCATGTGCTGGGAGGGTGTTGGAGGGTGATTGGGAGTGGGGGGCAATTTCTCCTGTTCGCAGGCACTCTGTGAGGCTTAGCCTGGCCCAGCTCTCAGCCACCATTTTTCGAAAGGAAGGCCTGGAGGCCTGGCCTCAGCTCATGCAGCTTCTTCAGCACAGTACCCACAGCCTCCACATCGCAGAGAGAGAGGTACTAGCACAAGGTGGGTGGGTGGGAGGGAGGGAGGAAGGGGAGCAACCGAGAGGCTGGAGAGACCATATAAGCTCTTCTTTCCCATCCCCTACACCTGGACAGATGGGGCTTTTGCTGCTAAGTGTGGTGGTGACCTCCCAGCCTGAGGCCTTCCAACCCCACTACCGGGAGCTTCTTCGGCTTCTGAATGAGACCCTTGGCGAGGTGGGGTCTCCGGGGCTCCTCTTCTACTCCCTGCGCACTCTGACCACCATGGCCCCTTACCTGAGCACTGATGACGTGGTAAGACATGGGTCCTCACCTGCCCTGGCTCCCTGTCCTTGGGCCTTCCGTGTCCTCACCCCTGCACGATGCAGAACTACCTCAGACTCTCTCCCATTTGTCGTCCCGAGCACTTGAGAGGAGATACTGTGGGTGGCTGTACCCGGGCTCCTCCTATGTCCAGGCTTTGAGGAAGCTGCCAGCTTCTAGGGCCTGAGATGAGTGAGCATGCATTATGCTTTTTCCCCTCCAGCCTCTCGCACGGATGTTGGTGCCCAAGCTCATTGTGGCCGTGCAGACTCTGATCCCTATAGATGAGGTGAGGACAACATTCGGGCAAGAGCTCTGTTGTGAGGAGGGCGTAGGAGCCCACGGCCTGGTTCACTGAAGAAGAGCACGGTAACCCTATGACTTGTTTGTCCGACAGGCAAAGGCCTGTGAGGCTGTGGAGGCCCTGGATGAATTGCTGGAGTCAGAGGTGCCCATCATCACCTCCCACCTCTCTGAGGTTCTCACATTCTGCCTAGAGGTGAGCCGGGGATGGGCACGGCCTCTGCTGTTGGTTTTGCTGGGAGTTTCCTTGCCTGTTTCTGATTCAGGTTAGTCTCTGGGCAGGTGGCTAGAAATGTGGCTCTGGGTGATGCGATACGTGTACGGGTTCTTTGCTGCCTCACTTTCTTGGTCAAAGTCAAGAGCAAGGTGAGTACTCTCTGATGCACATTACTGCACACCCATTTCCATCCTTCGCCTCACTCTTGGGACATTCTGTTCATCTCAGGGTATCTTTAAGTATTCAAAACTTGATCTGGCCTCACCCTAGTTCCTGGCTGGGAGTTTGGGAATCTCCTGCTAAACCCTCTGTGGCCTAGGAGGCTGGAATTTTTTTTTTAAAGACTTATTTATTTATTTTAGAGAGAGAGCTGTGCACACACGAGCAGGGGGAGGGACAGAGGGAGAGGGAGAGAGAATCTCGAGCAGGTTCCCCGCTGAGTATGGAGCCCGATGCGGGGCTCGATCCCACGACCCTGAGATCATCACCTAAGTGGAAATCAAGAGTCGGATGCCTAACCTACTGAGACACCCAGGTGCCCAAGGCTGGAATTTTTAATGTGAGTCCATCTCGGGAATAGATTCTCAGGGACACGGTTCCACCTTCCCTCTCAAGGCCTTACTGAAGAATCGTCTCCTACCACCCTTACTACACACCCTTTTCCCCATTATGGCTGCCGAGCCTGCCCTGGGCCAGCTGGATCCCGAGGACCAGGATTCAGAAGAGGAAGAGCCGGAGATTGGGCTGGTGGGAGAGACTCCCAAGCACTTTGCTGTACAGGTGGGATGTGCAATGGGCGGGGGCAGGGGCTTGGTCACTGTGGGGCAGAGATGGAGTCCAGCAAAGTCTTCCTGTCGTTTTTCAGGTCGTGGACATGCTGGCACTACATTTGCCCCCCGAGAAGCTCTGTACCCTGCTGGTAAGTGTGGCTCTGTCCTCCTGGTGCCCCTCTCCTCCGGTGTGCCTAGTCTCCCACCACTGAGGATGTTTGGGCCATGGCAGGTGTGGAGGGCCGGTTGCCACAGGAATGGGCAGACTTGGACCAGGGTTTCAGGAGAGTACCATCCGTTCCCCTAGATGCCTATGCTGGAAGAGGCCTTGCGGAGTGAGAGACCGTACCAGCGCAAGGCTGGGCTCCTGGTGCTGGCCGTGCTGTCCGACGGAGCTGGTGACCACATCAGACAGAGGTGTCTTTGTGCTAGAGTGAGGGTGGGCCGTGGGGAGGACTACTACATGGCCCATGATGGTCCGGGTCTCTGCTTGCTGTTGGAGCTTAATTAGCAGAAGTGTTTGCCTTCACTCTCAAGTGCCCCAGTTTGGAAGATAATTGAAATGGCCACCTCAGCTATAGAGAGCAGGGGGTGGTGCCTACTGTCTGGTGACATTTCCCTGATTTCCCCGGGGGGGAAAGAGGAGAAGGGCTCAGCCTAGGGCTTTCTGGCCCCACCTCTCAGACGGCATCCTCTGCTTCTGCCCGCCCTCCCCTGCAGGCTGCTGCCCCCGCTGCTGCAGATTGTGTGCAAGGGCCTGGAGGACCCGGCACAAGTCGTTCGCAATGCGGCACTCTTTGCCCTGGGCCAGTTCTCGGAGAATCTCCAGGTCAGTGGGGCTGAGCGTGGGCGGCCCCCGTTGCAGAGTCCCCACCCATCACCGGGGCCAGCTTCCCCTCAGCTTCATGTCTTCAGCAGTCCCTGCCACCGCCGAGGGCTGACTCGGGCCCCCTCTCCCCCTCCCCCAGCCCCACATCAGCAACTATTCAGGGGAGGTGATGCCGCTGCTTCTCACCTACCTGAAGTCAGTGCCTCCCGGGCACACAAACCACCTCGCCAAGGCCTGCTATGCTCTGGAGAATTTCGTGGAGAACCTAGGTAGGTGATGGCCCTTGGGCGTGCGACAGAGGGGACAGAGCTGTCGCTTTGGATGAAGGGGGTAGGACATGCAACCCCCTGAACCGCTGTCTGCGGTGGAGAGGAGTGTGGCAGGCCCCCAGGGAGCCCTGGGCTGGATGTTAGAGGTCAGCCTGGAGGCAGGCAGGGCCCCCCCAGAATGTGGGAGCACCTGGACTGGGTGTTAGAGGCTTGCCCTTTCCCACAGGGCCCAAGGTGCAGCCCTACCTTCCGGAGCTGATGGAGTGTATGCTGCAGCCTCTGCGGAATCCCAGCAGCCCCCGGGCCAAGGAGCTGGCCGTGAGCGCCCTGGGGGCCATTGGTGAGGAGAAGGAGGCAGGGTCCCAGGTTTCCCCAGGTAGCCTGGGGCAGGTGGTCCCGGTGGTCCCCACTCCAGCTCTGAGTCCCTGTCCCCCCGTCTCCCAGCCACAGCTGCCCAGGCCTCCCTGCTGCCCTACTTCCCCACCATCATGGAGCACCTGCGGGGATTCCTGCTGCCAGGCCGCGAGGACCTCCAGCCTGTGCAGATCCAGAGCCTGGGTGCGTCAGGGGCTCAGGCAGGGTTCCCAGGGCCGGGGAAGGGCCGAGGTGTTCATGGAGCTCTCCCCCAGGGCAGCACAGCTATCTTCTCGGCAAAGTGGGATTGCTGAATTGCCCCCCAGCTGCCGTCTTTGGTCCCCCACGGTTTGGCCTTGCGCCCCTCTGGCTCCTCGTCGCATCCTAGCATTAACCCAGCGCTTGCCCCCACAGAGACGCTGGGGGTGCTGGCTCGAGCAGTGGGGGAGCCCATGAGGCCCCTGGCTGAGGAGTGCTGCCAGCTGGGGCTGGGC